AGATAATTCGATGTGCGATAATTCGAATCGTTGTAGCGAAAGGGTTAAGCGAGGAACCGCTCCCTCACGAGATCCCTCTGCTACGTGGATTCTATTTGTAAGCCGGCGCGATACATAAAAGCGGACGACTTTCGAAATCGGGAAACCTCGGTCGGCAAAATCTTTCTTCCGACTCGATCGAATCGAGTTCTATCGTTCTGGAAAACGATTATTTCACACACACACACACACACACGGATCGATCGTCGAGTTTCGCCCGAAACGAGCCTCGCCCTTCTCACCCCGCCTCTCGAACCGTGATCAAAGATCGACCCAATTTCCCGCCGTGTTTCCGGGAGCGGTTGCTGGTGGTTCCGGGTCACCGATAGAACGCGTGCTTCTTGTTATCGCCGTTATTGTGTACACGAACAATCGCGAAATTAAACGCGCATTGAACCGGCCACCACGCCGCTGCAACCATATCGACTCGCATCTGCTCGTGTTGTTTCCTCGATTCTAACGGCCAATGGTATCGCGCGTGTTCGAACGAACGAACGGATAACACGCGAGAAGATCGAGAAGATTAAACGAGACGCCAACAAATTCGGTTTTCTTCGCATCGAGGGAAAAGTAGACTCGGTGAACGTAAGCAAGCAAGAAGCGTAACAAGTTCTAAAATTTTTGACGCGAATTAGTTAAAACAGCAGATCGAGCAGAGTGAAATAATTTAACCGCGACGACGCTCTTCGCTCGTCGAACTGGGGACGACGCGTTGAACGAGATTGTGCGCGCGATCGAAGGAAAAGGTCGGATAGCAGACGTCGGGTAAGCAACGTAAATACGTGTTTCGAGGTGTTTGCCGGCAAACCGAGCCGATAGCGCGCTCGATGGCAAGGAAAATATGGAACAGTTTTCCGACGCGTTTCGCGGCTCGTATGAATCGTAGCAACATCGAATCCGGCGGTGTTCCGCCACGAAATTTAATATCGTCTCTTCCCACACGAAACTCCGCGTCCTATCCTATCCTGTATTTGCGTTTACGAGTTGTTTACGAAAACAAGGAGAAAAAAGAAACTCTACGAATCACAATCCTCCCGTTAACCGAGAAGATAATCTTCGAACCGTTCCTCCTCTCTCCCCCGGATTATCGGGAAATTTCATCCCCCCGGCGAAAGACAAAGAGACGAAAGATGCGCAGAGAGTGGAGGAACGTTTTTCCGCGCCAAGAACATCGTTCCAATCACATGTTGTTACAGGACGATGGGATGTTTACGTTTACGCTTAAGACTCGTTAATTTTGCGGAGGCGGCGGCGGATATACGCCTCGAATATTCGGAATATCGACGGACTTCGGATGCCTTGATATCGCATTCCATGGTTTCCCGGCACTCCACTCCCCGCTCCGAAACGGAAGCCGCGACTCGAGCGTCTAGCTAAGCGCAACGAGTTGCCTGCACCGCCCCAAGAGAGTCTCGGATGTTCCGCTGGCTGGATGAAACGGATCATCCTGCGTGCGCCAATTTCGCGCATCCTGACGAAGATGGAGGCGGACGTTGTTTAAAGGGAACTGAAGATGGAATGGAATAGTCGGGGAGAAAGGAGGATACAACGCGTTGATTACAAAAATGTGGCGAGATCTCGTTGTATTCCGGTTACGAGGATTGTCGAATATTTCATCGTTTTAATCCCTTTGAGCGCGGGTTCCGTTAATCGTCGCGTCGTGGGGCGAAGGTAAAAAGGAAAATAAAGGAAAGGAATGGAATTCGAACAGATCGGTAGACGCATCCGTGTCGGAAAACGGAAACTTTGGAAGATCGGTATTGTTGTTGTAAGTTTGGAGAATGATGGATACGTGTTACGAGAAGAAAAATCAATCTTGCGTCACGATAGTCGAAAAGAGGGAAGGAAGTCGACGAGATTAAATTTCCGTTGAAAAACGGAATAGTTCTGTTTTTCGTAAATTCGATAACAGGGTTGAATTAAACTTGGGCGGCCAATACGAGGGTAGCTCGATCGTGACTTCGATCGGTCCAATCGTTCCCGACGTAATTAATGCCAGCGGGCTTGCTCGCCGAGCTATCCCTTTCTCTCTCTCTCTCTCTTCTCTCT